TGATGATCGATGCACTCAATTGGCGGAAGTAGCATATTAACCACTTAAAAAAAACTTTTCAAAAAGACCTCGTTTTATTATCTTCATACATTTTTACATAACTGTGGGTGTATCTTATATTTTTATTTAGTATATACTAAAACACTGGATAGCGTTGAAGGCGCGCTCTGATTGGCTAGTCAAACTCCGAATATCCTTTGCTATTTACCTCCGAGCAACTCGGGAAAAAATGGCGTCCCGGTTTGCATCCGTGACAAGCGAAGAAATCGCTCAAAATTAACGACGAAGCAGTATACTATCTCACTGTTTTAGTATATACTAAAACAACTATTCACCTCAGTGTCGGTGGTTAGCGGTGGATATTTACCGAGCCGCGAAGCGGCTCGGTAAATATCCACTACTAACCACCTCTACTTCGGTGAATAGTTGTTAAATATTCCAAATTTTTCGACTCTTTTTTACAAAAGGTCTCTCCACATTTTACATTTCTCGTTTTCGTTTTAAATCACTTAAGTTAAAACTTATTCACTTTACTTACTTGGCTTACTTATTTACTTTACTTACTTTAATAATACACTTTAGATAGTTTTCTTACTTTCTTTCCTTATTTACTTTACTTTCCTTACCTGTATCATTTACTTATTTACCTCACCTATTTATTTCACTTACTTACTTCACTTACAAAGAAAAACAACGAGCTACAATCAGTGAATCTGTGCCATCTTCCCTCAGAGATTTTTTGAAGGAAAAAATTGAGCTGCTTGGAATTCGCGTACGTGTACCATCAAGAAATTAAGTTGAAAATGCCACTGACCCCTTCTTTATCATTTTAAAAAAATCACTTCGTAATTGTTGATATGATCATCGTATAACCCTCTATTGTGGACTACCACCTAGCCTGATCCTGACAACCCAGTCGGCGGAAGCACGTGAGGCTCTGGCAGGTACAACCGTACCGGAGAGATCGATGGGGAGAAACCGAACCAAGAAGCAGTGAAAATTCCGAAACACCGGCGAAATACAGACCAAGTGCGACGACCCAATGGCGGTGATAAATTTCTATACCCTGGTTTATAAAATATTTCCGAGGAGTTTTTAGAAAAAAGTCTTTTGTGCAAATTCTCATGTTCTCGACCTAAACTCTCATGGAAATATAAGAATGGTNATTCAATTTTCCCTAGGAGTGAATGTGAACACAACAATAGATCATTTATCTCGGTCCAGTTTCGTGATAACGTACATGTTTATGACAAATGATCGGTGATGGATAGTTTCGCATAGATCAGCCGACTTTAACATGTTTCAAATGGCATACAAGTACAAAAGTGTATCTTCAGAGGATTTCGGACTGCTAAAATTCCCATGAAAGAAAATACAGCACTCGGAATCTGGATGATATGCACACGATTTGAGGTATATGTTTGCAGTTAGGTCAAGTAGCCCTCCATGAGGGCCGATCAATTTTTTTTAAAAAGATGACAACCAGAGGCGAGATTTCTCCTCGGGATATTGCTCGTAAGATAACATTATTTTCAAGCCTTGCACGTTTCATTTGTCTGAGACGTTTGTCGTTGACGGCATTATGACATTATGAACATCGTCAAACAATGCAATATCTAATTTTTGAGCTTCGTTCGCAAATTACCCCATGAAAAGTAGAGGTCGGAGCACAAAGATTTTTACATATTTAAAAACTAGAATATTATAACCGACTAGGTGATTATTTTAAGTTCCAGAATCCGTGTACTTTTGGAGAAATTCAGATAAACGTTTTACTTGTTTTACCCTACATGAAAAACGACTGAAACTGTACCGAGATAAATGATCTATTGCTGTGTTCACATTCACTCCCAAGGAAGATTGAATGCATTAATGTGAAGAAAAATGATGTTGCTATATATGGTAGAAGTATCAATATGCAATATTGTATTTAGATTGAGATAGAGAAATAAACATTTTACTCTTTTTTTGGATGTTATTGTGTGAAAATGAGGCCCCAGGCCTCGATCAAGCAGCCGTTGTTACCACGGCAACAAGAGTGTTGCAACCTTTAAAAAGGGTATTTTTGTGCATACCCCTTGAGTGTTTAACAGCATACAAAATTTGAAAGGGGGATGAAAATTTTCATTTCCCAAGATGTTTAATTCTTACAGAGACTTGTTCTTAAACAGAAATATGAAGAAAGAAAGAGGAAGGAAAAATAGCAATATCAACAATGCTTAAAAAACCTACGATCATGGCCATGTTGAAGTTTAAATTATGATTGTTGGTTTTTACCCTCGGAGTTATGCCTCTTTAATTCAAATAATCTATCTTGTTCTTCAGAAATAGTTTGCTTTACCCCTTGATTCATCGAAAAAAATAAGGTAGCTCTAAACCTACAGAATATATTTTACTTTCTTCAAATACATTGCCAAAAGACGAAAGTTGATGAGCTGATTAAAAATATGAGAATCATATGGGGTCGCAATATTTTTTCTTTTAGTTATGAGCACATCACGCTTGATTTAAGGATGTCTAAAATCAGAGGATATGGAACTTCCATGGAAACGTGCTATGTCAAGAAATAACTTCAGCTTGTAATGCTCTAATTAGGCATTCCTTTGGTACTATTGCAAAGGAAAGAAAGAGAAAAGTTGTAGTAGTAATATCCAGTTAATAAGTGAGTTGCTATTTAAAGATAACGAAACCACTCTTAACCGTCCTGAAATTACCTAAAGGAACTGATAACTAGCAAGCTTTCAATAATGTCTAATATGGTATTACTACGTCAGTTTCTGGTATAAATAGGACGTCTCATCTCTTTCTCTTCAGCCGCCATATTCATCTTCCTCAGGGTAAGATTCTTAAACAAAAAGACTGCTTTAATATCAGTCATGAATCAAGAACTGAGACAAATGTATAGGTTTGAAATTGTTGAGCTTTCTGAACATTTGACCACAGAGCAATTCAAAAAGCTCTTATTCTGTTGCAAAGATGAGATTCCACAGAGTTCTTCGAGTGGCTTCTCTACAACAGTAGAAATAATTGGGTGCTTGGAGAAGAAGGAAATCGTCTCGGTGGACAAAGTAAGCTTTCTAAAGAAGTTTGTCGACGCGATTGGAAGGAAAGATCTAGTCGCGAGGCTTACCAGATTTGAAATAACAAGAGAGTTGATGATCTACGCTTTGAACAGGCAAGGGTTAGAAACATCTATGAATTCGTCGACCACAAGTCTGGGTCATCACTTAGCCGAAATGGTGGATGTAGTCCAAGATCGAGTTGATCTACCAGAGCAAGGAATGATCAAGTCCCTCCTTGGGTCCGGACAAAATTTTTCCAACATTTTGGAAGGGCTACTGGGCTCAGATACATCCAAAAGCTGGAACAGCCTGGCCTTACGCGTCGCCACTGCGGCGGAAATTGTCTGGTTGGTTATCAGGGAGAAACAACAACAGGAGAATGGTATAAAGAAAGCATTGCATGTCGCCAAAAACCTGGCCAGTTATCTTTGGTCTGAGATGGAAAAACTTAAATTTGGAACCTGGGTGAGTCGAATTTAACGTTAAGTCCTAAACTATTCTCTGCATTTTAGTCTCTGTAATTAAACTATTTTTAGAACATAGCTAGCAGAGTCGCGCAATCAAATTCATTATACGTAAGCGTGCTCAAAATCCCGATAGTGCACGCTGATAGCGTCAGCAAATCCGACTTCGCCAGAAATTTTTTTTTCGCGCGAGCGGCCATTGCTAGTGCGGGGAAAAATAATACATTTCGCGACAATAATGGATACAAACAGAAACTCGGCCTGCTAGTCCGAAAACGAAGACAATGTTTCGACCTTTTCCCATGGGCTAGAGTTCTTAAATGAGGCAGAAAAAGAGAAAAACAAAGGAAAAGGAGACTCGGCATCAGCGCCGTCACGATTCGCTTCAACTGATATTGTTGTCCGTTTTTCGCGTCGCATTTGATGCACAATTCCACCGGCTATGTTCTAAAACAATTGGTTCATGCTTTCAGCTGTGCACTATCGAGTTATGGAGCACGTGGGAAGTTTGGAGAGCACTCAAGAAGCTAGAGTTGCCCTCGGCTATCGCCTCGGGCAACTCTTACGCTTCTTTCGTGCTCTCCAAACTTCCCGCGTGCTCCATAACTCGATAGTGCACGCTAAAGCATGAACCAATTGTTAAATAGAAGCTTACAAACATTTATCGAAAACGGAACTGGACCCGCTGATGTCAGAGTGACGATGTATCACTAGTTCGCTGTCAGCCAAGGAGCTGTCAGCCGGACAATGAACTTTGTTCAGCACTGAGTGGGTTGAGCGCTTCGTGTACAGAAGATTTTTAACAGACTAAACAAGGTTTTCGTTTCGTTTAAAACAAATCTTCTCTTGATCTATACAGTCACCATTCTCTGAAACCAACGGAAAGCGACCTTATAAAAGAATTTTGACCGAATAAATCAACGTTTCTTTTCAACATTCACTCAGATTATTTTTAAAAGAAACGTAAACATGCAATGCCGTTCAGTATTAATAAGCATATCTTAAATTTTATGTTAATTCTTATCAGTGCAAAGGAGAGGTAACTTTGAACTCCGATTAGGGAGCCTCGTAGGAATCTCGCCAATCTCGCCATTTCTACGTTTTTATCAGTTGTGATTTTTTGCGTTTACTGAATTTGACGCGCTCTTAATAGGATTGCATATAAGGTGACTTACAAAGAATTATGCATGGCTTTGTTATTTCGGTATTTGAAATCGTGAGAGCGAGAAATGATCCTGTCTACTGTAAAAACATCTGCATATTTTTAATCACTTGAGGGTTTTCTAGAGCTCGCGCTCGTGTTCATAATAAGGACACCGGAAATAAATTTAAGGTCAGTCAGCGTTTAAAGAGAGACTAATAAAACAATAATTTCGTGGCAAGGAGGTTCCTCAACAATTTGTGTTACGACTTTTCCAAATAAGTAAGGTGAACTCCAGCGCTGCGAACTGTCTTCAGACAATAAACCTTCAGAATAAATTTTCCAAAACTGCAGAGTAACATATATTGCTTTCACTTCTCTTACTTCAGGAGGAGTTTTGCCAATTTGTCAGGGAACGACACAATGGATACTTTTGCGCGCCAGTTCCTGAACTAGCGCCTGACTTTCCACGCCAGTTAATGTTAAGCTTCATTGGAAAGATGAAGGATACCTTCTTTTACTGAAAAACGAGGATAAGTATTATCCAGTTTAACGTAGTCATTAGTTTGATTTAGCAAATATTGGTGGGACAAAATAAGATAAGAGTAGATAGAGCGAACTGAAGGAGAACTAATTCATTTTTCTCGCTTTCTCAAAATTCAAACATAATTTGTTGCAAAGGGTCTACAATTTACTTATTGGTCTGGGTCTGGATCTGAGTCTGGTGTGCATGTGAGCAGTACAAATTTACATATTGATCATTTCTATGATTTTATCACCAGATTCACTGAATCGAGAACCAGACTTGTGGTTACACTTTGAGAACCAGATGGCAAACCTGGTGCAACGCCAGTTGTACACACTATACAATTGTAGCTCTAGCTACACAATCTCAAATACTTGACTGCAAAGCAATCACTGATATATATATATCTCACAATCTTTACCTGAAGAAGATGAGTATGGCGGCTCATTTGTGATGCACTAGCAGCTCATGCCATGGTTACGGTAACCACAAGGTAAGTCCTATTTTCATTCAATTAACTAGGCTGGTTTCCATGCTCACTACCAGTCAGACAAAAAGATCAAAATTACCCCAAAACCAATAGGCAAAGACCCAAAACTGACGAAGGAACAAAGTTATTAAGACATTTTGCGCTGCAGTTATAGGTTTAGGCTTCTGAATTTCTCGGATCAAGCACTCTATATCAGAGAAAGGAATAAATCTATCGTAATAGCTGCTTAACTCTCAGATGATACTTAATGGTTATAGTCTAGTGAGAGTGTAGACTCAATGCTTATATAGGTCCTTACACAACTAGTGGGAGAACGTAGTTAAAGGGATTTTTTTGCTTATTTAAGCAAGCTTGTGTGGCAACTTTAGTTGGATTTTCTTCGATATTCTGTGTTGCGATGATAGTTTGGTAAAAGTTGTTCCATCTAACTGAAATAGCAGCAAATAAAAGGCTATAAATTCAAAAATTATGGTTTGCCATTACCTCAGTTTACTATGTCACATTTCACCGGCCAGCTCTAGACGTCTCGGGAACACCTATTGGATTAGATTTTGTAATTTGCAGCAGCATTTCTGATTGGAACATTCCACGTGACTCAGGGTGGATTAATGTCGTCCATAACTGGATTTTAACTCCCGATGTTCAAACTTGTTCGTCAGAGGCAAAGATTGATCTTGGTGCTCTTATATGTATTGTTTATAGTGGCGCTAAGTATTGACATCGTAGGTTTATTATTATCTCGAGGCAAGGTCCTGGGCTTATTATCAGTCTCATCATTATCATGTTATCATTCATTGCCGCATCCGGCGGACGACACCTTTAAGCTCGGTCATCTTTTAAGCTGCGAAAACAAGTTTCCTAAGGTATCTTACACAAGGTATCTAGCGGTTAAAGATCACAGCACTGAAGGATTCAGCGTTCCAAAGAGGGTAGTTTTTGTATAAGGTACATTGATATTTCCACACCAATGATTTTTTTTGATCATCATTATCATCAATATTACTATCATTATCATTGTTATTATTTGGCGTTACGTTTTGTATGCTTTGTCTTGTTTTTGTTTCCTGAGAAATTTTTCGCATAGATTTTTCGTCGAAGTCTCTACCGTGATCACATAAGATTGTGTGGTTGACGTAGAAATTGGAATTTACTACTTACGTCTCTATGGCCCTTGGGACGTTCCTCATTACACTTGCTGCCACTGATGTCTTAGTATCAGACCATTTCCAGAGGAGCCCATCCATTGTGCTTTGGTTCTGCAGTATTTGCTCAATTTAAGCAAATCGGTTTCTGCATCAGTCACTCTTTCCATGCATTCAAGTGGCTGCATGATCTAGCAGGCGTCGGTTCTCCAGCAAGCCACCCCATATGGTAGCCGTCAAAGAAAACTGGGTCTGGTTTTGCGTCCTCGCCCTTCAAGCACTGAAAGGAACCGCTCAAGGCAGAGTATCTCAAAACTTTAATGGAAAGAACTGATATCGACGATTTCGCATTATTGTCTAATCTAGAATTGTTTCATTGAGACATTACAGCTTTCTTAGATTTTCGCAGTTGTTCCCTGCTCGAGTAGAATAAGAAAGTTTTAACTATCGGTTCATTATCATTTTCATCGAAAAGGGTAATTATCAGTTAAGGTAGGCGCATTCAGTAGAAATTGCAATTTTGAGATTCAGTATTGTACTGCGGCAATGCCAAAATCATGAAGGAATTCTTCATTGCTTTCTTAAGATCAGCTAGTATGCCTTTAGACCAATTTCTGCCTCTGAAATACTTTGTTTTAGTAAATAAGCTTCGGTTAATGCTCTTGCAAGGATTACATTTTTATATACTGGCATTAATTTACCTGCGTAAGTGATGTTACTGTGTAGGAAACCCTAAAACCCCGAGGGAGGCACCACTGCCTTGGTCGGGGGTACACGTCCCCCAGTTTTCTCCAGCTGCTGTATGGTTTTTAGGGGTTTTCGTGTCCGGCTTTGGTGCTTTTGTCCATTTTTTAACAGAGTTGATATCTGTAAATAGGAAGCTAGATAAAAAAGATCTCAGTTTATTTCATCAAAAAAGGAATTAAACAATTAGAGTATAAAAACATGAAATACAACATACAACCATGTTAATATGTTTAAAAAACCAGTGTAAATAGCAATTAAAAAAAGAGTTTATTTGAATGTTGTCTGTTAAAGCTTTGAGTTTCTAAGTAGCAGTGGAAGTGCAGTGACCAGACGCAACAATAGATTGATTTGAGCACGAGCGCTTTTTTTCCTGTAAGCTCCTTTGAGCCTCAAGGGTAAATAAGCTCGCTTATCACTCTCTTATCATCTAATAATCATATTTTTACCAATGTATATAACAATTACTTACACGCGAATTTTTTATGAATTCTCGAGTTCTTGAGTTTGACTCTTGCTTGGAGTGATAAAGAATGTCATTAGAAAAAAGATGAAGGTGGATAGAAGGAATAACAGAATCGTAGGACTTAAGTCAGGAAGACACGATCATGACAAAAGCCTTGGTTGAATTTTTTGGTAACTGATGTTTTTCCCTCTCAAACCTTTAAGTCTTGTCTTCATTCTTTCAGAATTATCCACCTCATGAGCTAATTCCCCTTCCCCCTCCCCGCCACAGTTTTTCTGATTCCTAAGACATTCGAGGTTTATTCAATTACTTTGTTTTGTAACTGTTAAAAAAATTTTCCCTCAGGAGTAGAATTCATGTTTCAGTCAAAAATTGTAAAGTTATCTGAACTAAGTGAAGGGAACTGAGCAAGAGCTTCACAAAGGTACTGAATACCTTGGAATGCCTAATATGGCATTATTACGTCAGTGTCTGTGATTTAAATAGGGTGCTCGTGTTATGCTTTTTTAGCCGCCGTATTCACCTTTCACAGAAAAAGACCCTTAGCACAAAGTTTTCATCATTGTTGTAAGTCTACACTATTATTACCTATGTTTGAGAATCTAAAGCATTGGTACCGAACTGTACTCGTCAAGATTTCTTAGAATCTGACGAAAGAGGAGAGAAAAGAACTATTATTTTACTGCAAAGACTATGTTCCTAAGAGTTTTTCAAGTGATATCCCCGCAGGCGTTCAAATTTTTGATCGCTTGGAAGACGCAGAAGTGATTTCGTTGGAGCAACTCAACTTCCTGACGGAGTTCGCCCGCGCAATAAACAGGCAAGATCTTGTCACCCAGCTGACTGCATTTGAATTGACAGGAGAACTGGTGTTCTACGCTTTGATAAGGCGAGGTTTTGAGTCCTCTATGACTTCGTCGACCGCTAGTGTGGGACTCCATTTAGCGAAAATGGTGGATCTTGTCCAAGATCGAGCTGATGTTCCAGCCCAATGATTGATCAAGTCCCTCCTTAATTCCAGATAAAAGCCTCTGATGTTTTTGACGTCATCAGCAGTAAAGCTTTGCCTAATGCCGATGAGACCAAGCCGAACACCTTAGCCTTGCTCGTCGCCATTGCTGCTGAGATTTTCTTGCTGGTGTTTGCTGAGAACCAAAAGTAAGACAATCGTCAGAAGTTTGCGTTGGACATCGCCATCGAGCTGGCTAACCACCTATATCTTAAGGTGGCCAACCTTGGAAACTTGGTGAGTTGAATTTCATGTTCAGTGTTATTCACTGTTTTGTTATTGTTATTGTTATTGAAATATTTTGAGCAACACCTACGCATTCATGTGAAACCGAAAGCGGGACAGAATCGTTATGAAATTGAACCAGTCTTTGAAAAAAAGGAACCATTTAGCTAGTATTTGAGGATAGAATAAACGCACCAATTATCTCGCAACACTAACTAAGAAACATACAAACTCGTAATTCATCGACTAGTTTTCATCAATCGGTCGGTCATCTCAATGAACGCTTCTGAAAGAAACATAAACATTCAAAGCCGAATCTGATTAGGTAATGTTCATGACTATGCGAGATTCGTTTTTAATCGTCCTTGCAAAACGGAACGGTTGTACTGCATGGATTTCTGTTTAGATGCCCTGAACGTACAT